GTTTCGGTTTTTTGTTGTTTTTTTTTTAGTGGAGGTACTGGGGATTGAACGCAGGACCTCATGCATGCCAAACACAGTACTCTACCACTGAGCTATACCCTCCCCCTCCCAACAATTTAGTTCTTTGAAAAGTGTATCTTTAAATTTTTTCTTCAATTATGAGTGAATTGAGCATCTTTTCCATTTTCAAAGCTGAATTCATCTTTCAGGTAAAATGCTGAGTAATAAACATGCAGTGTGGTTGCTTTTTATAAAGTTCAGAAACAGAGCTGTGCTGTTTAGGGTCGGACATATACATGGTAAAACCTTAAAAAAAAAACAAGTTTGTAGTTTCCAGAAAAGCCGGGCATGTGGTAACCTAGGGCGGTGGGGGAGGAGCACGCACATCTCGGGGCTGGCAGCTTTCCATACAGCCTGTGGCTGTTACTCAGGTATTTGCTTTATGTGTGTCTTAGGGACTTTTCTGTGTCATGTTTCACAATTTTTAAAATATCTTTAAATGAGCAGTGTCTTTAGCCAAAAACTCCAATTGAGTTACTTTTATTTTCATCTTGTACCTCAGAAAGGGTTGACTTAAGCGAAACCAGCAAGGCAGTAACAACGCAGTAAGGGGGTGGCCTCTGGCAGCTGTTTTTCTCTACTTTGTGGTCCAGACATTTCTGCCAACGACACCCCACTAGTAGCAACAACCCAGTAGGGTGACTAGGAGCGTCCTCTGCTGGGCACTGCTCCTCCCCTTTGTCATCTCACCTGCAGCCCCAGCTTGGTGCTGTCGTTATGTATTTATTATGCTGTCAGAACTGAGGAAGTGGAGGTAGAAGGCTGACTGACTTCTGCAGGCTCATGCAGCTGGTAAGTGATGAGTGGGGACGCGGCCTGGTGGTCTGGCTCACACTCCACTGTGCTGCTCTCCCCCGTCCAGGGGTCACTGATCCCTGGAACATTGGTGGCTGAGGTCTAGAAGTCTCTGATCACCCTGAAATGACACAAATGCATGCCTTTTCCTGCTGTCAGTCCCAGCCATTCTGTGAACATTTTCCATCCCAAAAAGGCTTCCAGCGTTGGGTTCCCACTGGAGCTGCCCCTTCATGTCCCCTAGATGACTGACTCCCCAAAGGCTGTTCTGCTTTAGAGTCCACCCTAGCAATGGGGGCCCTAAGATGGGCCTGAGGGCTTGTGAGGGGACAAGCCCGCAACGAGGGCCCCCTCGGTGCTCTCACAGGGCTCGTCGTCCATGCTGCTCTTGGGTGTGCTGTCGTCTGTCCTCACGGGGTGGGTTATTACAGCCAAGGAGTGACTGTTTAAAATTCAATTTCTTAAAGGCAGTAAACAAAGATCACAGCTATAAAAATGAATGCGCTGAGCAGTCTTAATCCCCTGAACCCCGTCCATCCCATTTCCTGTGCATACACACGGCCCGCAGAGGTAACTACTTCCCTGTATTCAGATGCAAGCATTTAAGAAGACTCTCTCCTTTTACATTAAGATGTTGTGTGCTATCTTGATTGTTTTGTACCTTTTTTCCCTGAACAGTGTGTCCAGGGAATGTTTCTTTATCAGTGCATAGAAAATACAGCAAACACTCATTGAGCATTTTTGTTCTAAGCATTTGCCACAGGAGCTACAGTCAGTCACTGCATCCTCTCACAGCGCTGTGAGGGAGTCCTTTTATTGCTGCTGTTCTATGGATGAGGGATTTGGGGCACAGAGAGGCCAAGTCACTTGTGTCTGGTCTCACGGCCATTTGTGGAACGTGCCTCCTCTCTCCTGTAAGACTAAATTCTTGGTGCAGGGCTGTGATTGTTAACAGTCCCCCTCTACTCATCACGGCACTCTGCGGAAAGGAGGTGCTAGTGTTTGCTGCGTGCAGAGATAATGGGCTTGTGTCATGCGGTTGCCATCTTTCTGTTTAACATTGGCACTTACTTCTCTTGTCCGTTCCTCAGTCGTCGGCTTATGAGAACTTACATCTGAGATACATATTTTCGTGATAGCTTATCAAGTCATTTCTGCTTCGCAGCAAAGATGTTAAAACGTCTGTAATTCACTGACATACCTAGTTGTCACTGGAAGTTCTGGCCAGAATGAGGTCAGGAGAATGATGAGTGAATGTGTTTCCAGATTACAGATTTGCCTTAAATAGAGCATATTATTAATTCAGTTCTGTCTGACTTTAGAATTTAGTAGCTGTTTGCTTTTAATCTGTGAAAGAACTTTTCATGGGTTTAATGAAGAAGATTCTTCAGCAGGGAAACATGAAAAGTTAAGAGTTAAGGAAATTCTAGAGGGGAAAATGCTGTTTGATGCCATCTTACCATCTGGCCTCTAGAGGTTCAGCTCAGTTCTAGTAATGAGGGCCCCAGCAGGCCCCAGTAAAGAGATTGGGTTTGGCTGGGTCTTCAGGGATCCTCGTCAGCCTGGTCACCCACCCTCGTTAGCCTGAACTCAGGATTGGCACTCCGGTGTCACTGAGAGAGGAGGTCTCTGAAGGAACAATGTGGAGGGTAGGATCAGATGGGTGTTGCAGGTTGCTCACTGTTCTGCGATTGTTTCTGCAGGAGGGAAAGGAAGTGGTATCTTTGATGAATCAACACCTGTGCAGACACGACAGCGTCTGAACCCACCTGGTGGGAAGGCCAGTGATATTTTTGGGTCCCCTGTCACTGCTACTTCACCCTTGGCACATCCAAACAAACCCAAGGTATGGACTGCATTCGAATAGCAGACATGAAAACAAGAAAAACAAAACTTGAGCCAAGTACTCTTTTAAGCAGGCTCTGAGGACCGGAGGGTATAGCTCAGTGGTAGAGTGTATGTCTAGTGTGCACGAGATCCTGGGTTCAATCTCCATAAATTTAAATAATTAAATGAATAAACCTAATTACTTCTCCTCCACCCCAAAAAAAATTTTTTTTAAATAAAAAATGAAAAGGCTCTGAGGCAGTTATGTTATTAGGAAGAGGCACAATGGGTGACATGGTTTTCCTGGCTGCAGTCATTACTCATTGAGTTCAGAGCTCCCCTGAGTCATCAGAGAAATGCATTCCAACCTCATGATGATGGAGGCTGGTCTCAGCATGTGAGTTGCAGAGACTGTCCACTACTCTGCACATCACCAGTGGATGCCGAGGATATTTATAAAACTGAACATAAAACAGGGGAGTTCACCTCTTAAACATTTCACTGCTTTTAGTGACCATCAGTCAATAAGTACAGTAACTGCATTGGATTAGAATTTACCAAGTATTTAGAATTCCTGGGTTCCTGATATTACTTTAAAAACAGTTCATTTGTCACCTTTGGAGAATGCCAGAGGACCATCTTGAAAACTGCTGACAGGTAGAATTAAACACTTAGCCAGTGTTTCCTGCCTGAACTGTACCTCAGGATAACAGCTGTGGAGGGAAAGCTTCCTTTTATAAAAGTGTTCCAGCCTATAAACGAAGAAGGATATTTAAATCCAAATATCATCATTTTGCAAACTTGTGATGAAATTGTAGATCTAAGCTGTGATCATGAGTGGCTGCTAACATCACAAAACAAGAGACATCAAAAAATCATGAGTCCATCGTGGACCACCTTTGAATCCTTGTCAAAAACACCAAGCCTAAATCTGACTAAACCTCATATTAATCAACACCGCAGGGATTGACCAAAGTAATGCAAAATGTAGGACACTGCATGGCAACCAATAGGGGGGAGGCTGATGACTAACAAAAAAAGACTGGAGGTTGCAATCCCTGTCAAAGTTCCAACAGTGGTGGTGGTTTGATTTTTTTGTTTTCTTTTGTGCTACTGTTTTGTTTATTTTTTGAAAAAATGGAAAGACTTTGAAATTCGTATGGACTCTCAAGGGACCCTGAATAGCCAGACAGTCTTGAAAGTGAAGAACAAAGTTGGAGGTTCACACATCTCCATTTCACAACTTACTACAAAACTACAGTAATCAGAACTACATGGGCATAAGGATAGACATATGGGTCATCAAAATACAACTGCAAACCCAGAAATAACTGTCACATCTGTGGCTAATTGGTGTTTCCACAAGAGTATCAAAATCATTCAGTGGGGAAAGGGCAGTCTCTTTAACAAGTGGTGTACATGGAAGGAATGAAAGTGGATCTTTACCTTACACCATGTACAAAAATTAACTAAAAAATGGATCAAAGACCTAAGCTGAAAGGCTAAAAGTATAAAATGCTTAGAAGAAAATGTACCAACAAATCATAATCTTGGATTTGGCAGTGGTTTCTTAAGTGTGTCACCAAAAACAGGCAGCAAAATTTTAAATAAATAATAAATTGAACCTCATTAAAATTAAAAACATTTGTGCAGCAGAAGATACTATGAAGAGAATGAAAAGACAGCCCGCAGAATAGGAGGAAATACTTGCAAATCACATATCTGATAAATTTTGCTATCTGGAACATGTGAAGACCCCCTTCAACTTAGCAACAAAAGGACAGCCTCATTCAAAAGTGAACAATGGACTTGAACAGACATTTCTCCAAAGAAGATATACAAGTGGTCCATCAGCATGTGAGAAGATGCTCAACATCCTTAGCCAATAGGGAAATGCAAATCAAAATCACAATGAATAACCACTTTATATCACTAGAATGGCTGTTATCAAAAAAGGGGAAAAAAGCCATAGAAAACAAGCATGGTTACCAGCCGGGAAAGGGGGTAGGAAGGGATAAATTGGATATTACAAATACTAACTACTATATATAAAATAGATAAACAACAGATTTCTACTGTATAGCACAGGGACCTATATTCAGTATCTTGTAGTGACCTGTAATGAAAAAGAATATGAAAATAAATACATGTATGTCCATGTATGACTGAAACATTCTGTACACCAGAAACTGACACAACATTGTAAACTGACTATAATTTAAAAAATAATAAAATAAAAATTTCTGCAATTTAAAAGAGGGAAAACAAATGTTGGTGAGGGTTATAAATTGGAACCCTCATCCACTGCTGTTGGGGATGTCAAATGTGCAGCTGCTGTGGAAAACAGCTTGGCAGTTTTCTTTGAAGAAGTTAAACAGAATTTGCCGTGTGATCCAACAACTTTACTCTGAGGTATATACCCCAAAATTGTGAAAACAAGAACTCAGATACTTCAACCTATTTGAATAATATTATTTATAATAGCCAAAAGATAGAAACAACCCAAGTGTCCATCAGCAGATGAATAGATAAAGAGAATGTGCTGTACCCACAGGATGGTATATTACTCAGCCATGAAAAGGAAGTTCTGATACACAGTGCAGCACAGATGAGCCTTGAGAACATGGTGTCGAGTTTTAAAATTTGACTAGGTGTTACACATTTAAGGAACCATTGATTTTTGCAGTTATGAGAGTGTTGTTTTTCTTTGTTTTTAGCTGAATTTTAAAGAGCCACATCTTGACATACTTACAGATAAATGAAATACCTGAGATTTGCTTTAGAATACTCCCATGAGGGGTGGAGGGAGAGGGTGGGAGGCCTGGGTGGCTGAGACCAGGATGGAAGCAAGCTGATGTCAGTTGCTGTAAGAGCGGGTCACCTGGCAGCTCACCAGGCTCTTCTCTCTGCTTTGTTTATGGTTAAAATCATCCAAATAGAAACCTTTTTTAAAGTTAAAAAATAGAGCCTGGTCATCAATGCCTTTCCCATCGCCCACTAAGTGGAGTGGGAGGTGTCCTAGTGGTGTGTTGACCTGGGGTTTGCCTTGTTGCAGGACCACGTGCTCCTGTGTGAAGGAGAGGACCCAGTACTGGACCTCAAAGGTAAGCTTGTTTTCTGTCTCTTCCCTGGGGCTCATACTCTGCAGGGGCTGCTGGTGCCCAGAGAGGACAAGCAGGAGGACCCCTGTGCCCCTTCCAGCAGCCGATGGAAACAAGCAAGGTGGTGGTTATTGCGAGGTTTCGTATTTGGAGAAGTCTGGGGAAGTGGGCTCAGTTGTGTCTGGTGAGAACTTTCCAGCTGGCTTTTCTGCACTTTTGTCATCACTAGTCAGCCTGGGCCTGAGGCCATGGTGTCCTCTTCTAGAAGCTGACCTTGTGTAGTGAAGGGCAAGGGTCCAGAACCTTCCGTGAACTCGAGACAGAGGACAGCACTGGCGGAAGTGGCAGAAGAGATGGGCACGAGGGGAGCAGGGGAGGAGAGACGGGGGTGAGAAGGAAGAGGGGATGGGATGTCAGACCAAACTCCACCATGGTCCTCTGCCCTGGCTATGGGCACCCATCAGTGAGGGTCTCCATTTCCCTCACTGATGATGATGAAGTGGTCCCTTCAGAAAGTCCACAGTAACCTTGGCTCCCCTGCTGGACCCTTCACTTCCAATGACTCCCTCTTCCTTTTCACACTCACCTTGAGAACATGTGCTTTTTATACTTGAGGTGGAAGAAGGAGGCGTGGCGTCCCACAAGCAGCACAAAGATGTGCCCACTCCCTCAGGGGCTCCTCCAGGCGCTCTGAGTCCTGAGTCCCGGCTCCACCAGCTCTGGGGTGGGCGGGACGCGCACGCGTGCAGCTCTGTTAGGCGGTGGGTGGCCTTTCACAGGTGGTGTGCTGACTCTGTCCCACAGCTGCAGCCAGCGCCTCGCCCAGACAGGAGCCAGGGGAGAGAGGCGGCCCGAGAGAAGCGGACGGCGCCCAGGGGCCCGCGCCCACGGTCGACAGCCATGAGCCCAGGTTGGGCCCTCGGCCTCGCTCGCACAACAAAGTCCTGAACCCACCCGGAGGCAAATCCAGCATCTCCTTCTACTAAGAGACACGGCTGCTTCCCCCATAGCCAGACAAGAAACTCGAGTGATAGGATTTCAAATTTTACAGTTTTTCTTATCCCAAAGGAACGGGGTGGGTGAGGGTCAGTTGGATGGTGCCTGAGGCTGCTGCTCTGGCTCCACGCCGCCACAAGAACCACAGAGGACCTGGCCTTCTGGTGCTAAGGGAGGAAACGTGACCCCTGGTGTGAGGGCCTTTCTGGTGGGCGGGTGGGAAGATGGAGCTCGACCAGGTGAGCCTGGGGACTGGGGTCTTCATGTCCTTGTTGTGTTAGCTAATTGGGTATCTAGGAATCACTAACACAGTAGCAGAGTTTAAAGCCTTTGAGAAAAAACCAAAAACCATTTGCCCGTTGCTGTGGGATGATGAGCACGACACACGGAAATACTAGGTGGGGTGGGTGCTCTGGAGAGCCCTCAGACCCCAGCGCCCGTCCCCTGTTGTGGACATGGTCTCTGTTCCTGGGGTTTCAGCCCTCGTGTGTTTCACTTCAGTTCTACAGATTTCCTTGAAACACCTTGATTACTTTTGCCTCCGCAGCTGTCAACAAAAACCAAAAAGCTGTTCTCAGTCTTATGCTTTATGGGAAGATCTTATGCTCTGATCTTCTGAGGTGCCCCATTTCTGCCATCTCAGACCTTAGCCGGATCTGACATAGGAATCTCTGCCTTTCATCTGCCAGGGACTGGCTTTGGACTCTTCACAGGCAGTTTTGCTTATGAATTGTTCCTTTTTTTCTCGTCAGCCTTAAGTCTGGGCCTTTGCTCCTCACCAGTGATGTGAACAGATCCCTTCACGAGCCACACTTCTCCCTGTCTGCAAGGCTGAGAACATCTGCAGGACTTTAAAACTGCCCAGATATATCAAAGTAATGGGGTCATTTAAACCCTTCATATGTCTTCCTTTCTATTCCTGTTGGTGGTAGGAAGAAGAGATGCTTGAGAACCTTGGGTTCTTAGATTTTAATTCTTTAATATTATCTAAAAGGCTGTTCTAAAAAACCAGTCACATAGATGACTGTTGACTTGTCTGTTTCTACACCTTTTTAGAAAAAAAGTCCATTGCTCAGGTACACCAAAGAGGAAGAAGTTTTCTTAAGCCTCTCTTTATAAAGGTTTGCAGAACCTCTGGACCATCTTCACAGTTTCCAGATAAGACTTATTTTAGAGACCTTAGGTCAGGAGATGAAGTAGTTTGGCCACAAAGTCTCAAGTGGCCCATCCCATGATACTTGCTAGCAAAGATGGTGGGCTGGCAAGAGTCATGTTGCTTTGATCTGTCAGGCAAAAGTTACTCCCACTGAGCTTCTAAAGGGCTACAGTGTCAACTCCTCTGTTGCACTAATGTGGGACCAACGGTTAACAGGGAGGATTTGGGTGGTGGAGCTGTTGCCTACAAAGCTAACACAGGTGCTAGAAATGTCTTCAGCATTATTAAGATGTAGCCACACCCCAAGTGGCCTGGACACTCAAGTGCCTGCAGGAGCTGCCAGCCAAGCTCCGCCTCTGCCACTGGCACACAGCAGGGATCTGCACAGCGCTTTACCAGCCAAAGACACTGTCCCTTTCAGTCACTACTGACTTTGGAGCTGAGAAACCCTCGTTCCATGTGACTCTCAAGTATTTCCTATCTCCATCATTCAAATGGTTGTTTGTGAGAAAGTTGTTTGGAACTCACAGCATTTTTTTCCCCATTAAAAAGTGTCACAAATGGTTGTTAGCTTTTAAGCTCAAACACTAATTTGTTTAACTTACCATGAGCTGTTCCAACAGTAGAAATGAACTACGGTTTATGTTCTGGTTTGCTTTTAATACACAAGAAAATGATTCGTGAATTTCAAATTGGATCACCCTGAAGACCCTGACAGTGCTGGCCCTGGGGCTCCACCCTCAGCCAAATGAGGGATAAGCTCTCTGTTCTGTCTACTGGCAGGGACTTCTGGGGCAGAGGTGGGGATAGAGGCCTGGGGGAAGGAAGAAGACACATGCAGGCAGAGCCTCTGGGCAGCAGTGACCAAGTTGCCTTACTTTTGTCCCCATCTTCCTTCCTTTCCTTCGTGAAGCCATGGGCGTGACTGAGAGAGCCTGGGTAGTCTGGCTGCTGGCAGGAGCAGAGGACACATGTTTTTGCTCCTTTGAACCTGATGGAGGAGGCTGTTTGTATTTGAAAGATTAACTCTTAGCATCCTGTTCTCAACGTCCACACTGCATTGAGAAATGACTAGTCTGTATTTTTATTAAGCCTTAAAACTTTTTTTATGTGCATTTGGTGCCAACTTTTTTGTAGAGCTGTATCAGAAACACCAAACCTGTGCTCACATCACAGTGTAACTGAGAGAAGCATTCTGTTATTTTTACAAGGCAGGAGTGGGTGTAGCCATTGAATTAAATTTAGCAGTCACGTACTCAGAGTCTTTGCCTGTTGATTGCATGCGCCTAGTATGCACCAGTGTGTGGATGAGCATGTACATGGGGGCAGACGTGTGCACGTCCTTCCCTCCACATTCATTCTCCAGAGCACCTGAACTCTGCTCCTTCCCTTACAGCTTTTCATGGGTTGAAGGAGTTTGTCCTTTTTTAATTTTTTCATTTAGCCAGATGCCCAAATTAATCTCAAAAGATTATAGACTTAAGGGTTTTTCATTTGAAAATCAGACTTAGCTTTCAATAGAATGAACCGGAATGTGGCAGCGTTCTTTTTGGTTTCTGTAAGTTGAAGGTAATGAATGATTCTTCTTTCTCAACACAACTTGTTTTCCTTAACAACTTGTCTCTGAATTGGCTTTGAAACTGCCGTGACAAACTGCATTGAGTAGATGAGGTGCTGAGCTATTAGAATTTGCTTGTAGATTCAGGTCCTGTAGAGAAAGCATAGATTGTTTTTCCTTCTTATTTGCCTGCCTGAAGAGTCCCCCAGAGGAGGCGTCCTCCATTCTGCCTTCTGCCTCAGGGCCAACTATCAGGTTAGCACTTCTGAAAGTAACCCGATGTGGGTGACCTGACACTATCTTCACTTGTCCATCTGAAAACACCTTGTGGAGTGCAGAGCATGTTCCAAGAGCTAGGCAAGCCACTGGCACCATTACATCACCTATTTGTAGCAGATGCTCCAGCCACAGCACTGAGCCTCAGAGTGTCACAGCCTTTTTGTCTCCAGAGGCCAGGCAGTGGCTGAGTCTGAATGGACCAAGGTGGCTCCCCTATATTATGGTGAGGAAGTGAAAAATATCTCAAGGGTCCCTCTTCAGGTCCTGTGCCTTGTCCAGAAACACACTGGCTCTTTTGACAGACCGTAACTTGTTCTATTATTTTTGTGATTTGAACCCTGCAAAGATGCATGTATCTCCTGTGTTATCCAGTTCATTTGTTCTGAATTTGTATTCTTAATCCTTAGTATTCTTGGAGCTCATGAATTAAATAGTTCTGTTTTATGTGCGATACAAAGTGATATCTAAGATTCAATTTAGAAAGAAATGAGAGGGACAGTATGGGGACTTACATGACTTTTTTGCAGGCATTAGGAACTTTTGAAACCTGTGTGCCCATTTTACATTTTAGGGTAACGAGAAAAAGAAAAAGTTGAATCCCAAATGATTCTTACAAATCTGAAAGGAAGCTGATTATGTACTCTCTCAAGAGTACTAGTTGTAGTCTTCAGTAAGCATCAAGAATTATCCAGCATATCATCTTGTTAAAACTTTATTTTCTTTAACCAATTTCAAGTAATAAATCTGCCCAAACATGTTAGTAATAAAAACTAATAAAGTTGATGCCACGTCAGTTGGCCTCTCACTGTGGTAGTGGGGGCTGCCTGACTGTATTTGCTATTTCAGTAATTTAAAAGGGGTTACATTTCTGGAAAACGCCTAAGGCAGAAGTCTTAAACATTCCCCAAAACATACCCAAGCTTTCTCTGTAACTCGCTCACCAGAAAAAATTAAACATTCCATTTCTGTTCTGGCTTCTCATTTTGAGAAAATAAAACATTAACAAGTCTATAATGTACTTATTGCATGCTTAACATTTGCTAGAGATGGTATGAGCCCCTTTCACAATCTTCATGACATTCCTAGTAGGTTGGTAATATTTTTAGGTTCAGTTTTAAGGTTAGCTAAGATCAAACCCCAGGCAATCTGAATGTGAGAGTGAAACCCAGTTTCTTAGTGGGGTGGGCTGGGTGAGCATCCATACAGCAGAGTAGGCTGCAAGGGGAAATTGTGCAATAGTATTTAGGGCATCACCTGCAGGAACATTTATTGATTTTGTGCAGTCAGAGTATCCTGTCATCAGTCAGGATGAGCCAACCTTGAAGTGCTTCATCTACTGAAAGGCAGGGGTAAGAGCACTTGTTAGCACTAAGCTGTCATTAATGTGTTTTTGATAAGGATTCATGCCACCTGTGTAGCCCCCAAAGCTGGACGTGTCAGTCTGAGGTTCATGGTGTCCTCAGGTGCCAGTGAAAGAAAATGCAAATCACGTGGCTAAAAGTGGAAGAAATAAGGGCCTATCAAAACTGGTAGAATATAAGAAAATCAAATAGGTCGAATGGAAATTAAAAATAGAACTATTTAAGTTTAAAACTCAGTAGGTGGGTTAGATTACAAATAGCTGAAGTGAAACTGGGAAATCTGATAGAAGTTAAAACAAAATGCAGGCCAGAGAAGTGGATTAAATGAGTTTGCTACTGGGTTTTACGATGAGAGAGGCAACTTGCACTTGACTTGAATCCCAGGAGGGACGACTGAAGGGTAGAGGAGCACCCTGAAGAGAAGCCCTGAATACCTGCAGTGTAGGAGGATGCACTACTGTGTAGTGAAGCTATAGAGGTTAAGTCAAGTAACAGTTAACCAGGTGACCATCGTGGTCATCTCTGCAGGGAAGGGCGGGACGCACAAAGATAACATCCACTTCTTTGGAGGGGAGGGTGACGCTTGCTTTAAGTCTCTAAACCGTACACAATCACTTATGTATACTCTTGGGACATGCTGTCACTTTATAAAAGTCGAGGCTGGGGTCGTGGGAGCCGGTTTACGGCGCCTCCAACAAACCTGGCCGGATGTGCTCCCTGCCTGCTCAGCAGAGTTTCCGGCCCGGAAACGGGCTTCCTCTTACGTCATGGCTTCTGCGACCGCCGCCCTCTAGCAGTGCAGCGCAGAGGGGACTCCGGCGGGACGGGCGGGCACCACCCACTCTGCCTGGCGGGCGGGACTTCCGGGAGGCGGGACTTCCGGCCACTGAGTGACGGGCGCAGCATCAGCACCAGCATCAGCATCGGCGGCGGCTGCTGAGCCCTGAGGCGACAGCGGCAGCGGCTGCGGCGGAGACGACGGGCCGCGGCCTAAGAACTA